GGCGAAGAAGGAGGGGGGGAGGAGGAGGAGGAGGAGGAGGAGGGGGGGGGGCGACGCACACTTTATCTTCGGAGCGTAGAGGAAAAAAAAAAGGAGCTACTTTAGAGCGAGTTACTGTAGCCAAGGTTTGGAAAACACCTGCAGACAGCACACATAGAAACCAAGGCAAAAAGCAGCCTCTTGTTTTCCTAGGCCGCCCCTCCCAGCTCCCCATGGCCGGGCTCGGCCATGAATCTGTGTGACAGCTACGGAGCTGGGGCGGGTCCGGGCCTGCGCCTGTGCCCAGGGCCCGCGCTGCCTCCGCGGGGGCCCCCCCGTCCAGGCCCCGGGGAGGGGGCGCCCCTGTGGCGAGAGGGGGGAACCCCAGAAAAACTCCGGGACGAAGTTGGAGAAAGAGGAGCAACAGGATCAATACGGCGGCATTGTTCGGCCCTGCTTACCTCCACGGGACACCATCTGCTCCCTGTCAATGGATCACCTGCTTGTCTGGGCAGTCGCCATGGAGACCCGGGGGAGGAGGGATTAGGAGGAGGGGGAGAGAAGGGAGGGGGGCTGCTGGGCGCGGGGGGGGGGGGCTGAGCAGCCCATTGCTGGAAGAGCACTGCCCCCCCCTGGACGACCCGGCTCTGCCGCCCCTGGCTTGACGGACAGCTCCGGGCCCGTTTCCCGCTGCCATCACAGTGCGTTTTGTTTGTCAGCGACATTGCTGGGGGAAAAAGTGACATTCATGGCTTAAAAGGGTGGGGTGGGGTGGTGAGGGTGGGTCTAGGAATTCATGCTGGAGAATTTGGGATCTTATTGAGCTGCATATGTTGATACGTGGGGTTTATGTAAGAATGTTGATTTTGGGATCCGTCCAAAAGGGGGAAAAAAAAACCACGGGCTACAATATTTCTCTGCCATTCAATAGCGGGGCTCCCGGGGCTACAGGACTAGAAAATGACAGCGCTGTGAAAGACCGTATGCAAGGCTGACAGACAATGACCTGGGGAGCCTCCCTCCCAGGCCGGTGAAAGCTACATACCCATCAGCGCGACTTCGAACGACCACAGAGCAGAGCTGCACGGCTGCCTTCCTCTTTCCTGACCAGCTCTGAAACAGGGCGGACTAGTTTGTGATGCTGGAAATTGTAACACCTTTCACATTACGGCTAAAGGAACTGTGTTTGATTTTGTCCCAAATATCATTTGTACTTTTGTTGTGACTGAGCATGATGTATTTTTCCAAGGCCTTTAAACTTCTTTTCATATATAAACATTGCATTAAGTATAATGTAATTCGTTTATCATATTATATAAATTAGCTTTTAATAAGTGAAAATGAAAAGAGATACACAGTACAAATATTATGACTGAGCACCAGAGTTAAATTAATCTTTGTTATAATGTCTAGCAGCTTTATTTTTTTCCTGTGTTAGTACTAATATTGAGCCTTACAGTAATTTGTCATTGTTGAATGATATCCTTTTCATTATGAAGGAAGCCTGACAGGCAAGCACTGTGAATCTGTGTGCCACAGGAAGTTACTCGATCTTTCACAATGTGCACAATCAATTAGTTTCTAAGGGACTATAGGCTTTGATTACTGAGTAAATAATAAGGTTCATCACAGCACTGGCGTAGGAGTTCATAAGGACTCATTAATTTAAAAAATCAACAGCAGGAGGTTCTGAAGCCCAAATACACAGCTCTGAACATATCTCCATTCATGACAACATCTGAAAGATGACAATGTTAAAGGCACGTTTGCTCCTGATGAATAATACAGTTTGTAATCAAATGTAGCACAGATCACTTGCCAGTATAAGCAGTTAAAGTACATGTCCTTTCTTTATGGTTAGAAAGACATATTGTTTTTCTTATCATCTCTGGTAACATCTGAAAATGGTGAATTAATAAAACAACATTTAATTTAGGAGAGAAAAAGAAAAATGCATTCAATTAGTGAAATGGTGAGGATTTGTAAACATACTGTAGTAGTAAAAAACATGCAATAAAATACAACATAATGTGTCTTACAGTGTCAGGAAAGGGAATATAATGGATTGTTTTTCATTGCCAAAAATAATAATAAAAATGGAACCAGGAATTGGCAAATAATAAAGATGGTAATTAGCCCAGCTAATTAGTGGTAAGTGATCTAGTCCTTTAAATGCCACAATAAACGTTTCATTGAGGAAACAAGGAACGACAAGGACACAAGAGGGAAGAAATGTTGATTTGTTTAAGAGTTAGCCTGTTAGCCAACAATAAACGTATGGGAGACGTTAACTGTAATGCTCTCAATAAGTGCCTTTGTTTCTTGTCTCCCGTCTTTCTGTTTGTGTCCAGAATTTGTGTCTGTCAAAGTGTTCCTTCTGCAGCCCTGTCTGCGTTATTGCACTCACAGCCAGGGACGCTCCTCTTCGTGCTGCAGGAGCTCTGAATTGTCCCTCGAGGGGCTTTCCATTCGTTCTCGGCCCGGGAGCCCGAGTCCAGGCCGTGGCAGTGTAGTGCAGACCAAAGGCACTGACCTCCTCCACTCCTGAGGATGCGTTAGCCCGAACTACCAGCACTGCCTCACTCAAATTTACAAATGTTCTAGTGCTTCGCTTTTTTCACAGCAGGTTTTTGTGTGTCATTGCTGAACCTACTGAAGTAGTGAGTATAGCTGAGAGGCACTGCTTATTTTAGGCATCATTTCAAATATTTCTGTGCCAGACCTTCTGGATAGAGCCACCAACATCTCATTAACACCAACACTCCTGGACAGTCAGGGTTCAGGACTTCCCTGTTTTCCTTCCCTGCTTTAAAGGAGCAACATCTGTTTCTGTTGACAGTTCATAGCCTTATAAAGTAATAAACATTTGCACGGTCGTGATCTCCAGAAACCGTAAGAGCTTGAGGAGAGCAGGTTGTTCTGCCCCGGTGAGTGAACACACGATAGGGCTCTCTGTCTGTGCCACCTGCCCCCACTTAACAGGTATTCACCTCGTCAGCGCTGGATAATTAAGCCCTTTCCTGTCCTCGGTCAGACGCTCGGTCACTGGGCTTTCATGCTGTGTTGGAAGGGCTCCTTGCTCAACCCAGCCTGTCGCCTACTCGCCCTGCACTCCGCCTGAACCCGTCTGACTCTTAGGTTGGATCCCCGTCTGTTTCCTGCTTGCTACAAGACCGTGGATGGTGTTATTAGCAGCCTTCCTGATCTGCCTGTCTGCCTGGGGCATTCTCCACCTCTCCTGTCTGTTTCATTTCTTGCGGACCTTATGATTGGACTCCTCAGCCTGTCTTACAGACGTATCATTGTCCCCGTCTGTGCTGCGTCATAACACAGCTTACGCGAGATCACACACTCCTGCCTCATACCATAAACGGGCATGACTACAGTACATGCACAACAACTCAAACTTGGGGAAGGACACTGTAGCACTACTCAACTGAACTGTGTGCTATTAATGGTGTACCAGTATGCACAACCGGCACTATACCTTGGGATGTACCGGGCATTATTACTAGAACAAGAGCATCCTCCTAGCTTTATACTAACCATTCTTAAGCCAAAGCTGCTCTTGAAAGTGGCTGCTGTTGTGTACAACATTATGGGTTGTTCAGAAAGTTTGGAAGTACTCTCTTAGTACTGCAAGGGCTCAACAAACTCTGTACGAGCATCAAAAATGGAATCATTTGGACTGGGATGGAAGGGGGGCATGTGTATTGATAGGACAAACTCAGCAGTGGACTGTTTATCATACATAATAATAATGATAATGGATGTTAGCCGAGAACATCAAACATGAGCTCTGGCACCCTGGCTGAAGTACACATACTGTACACGTGTCTGGGTGTGCCTCTGGACACAGCAGCCCCTTGGGTGAGCCCATAGGGAGCTCTACATTTTTTCCTTTTTGTGCAAGTTCATTGAGTCTCCCTCATGCACAAAAAGGACCTCCTGGCTGTGACATACAATATACATGTTTAGCAATGGATTCCTACATAGAAATATTTTGATAATAGAGTTTTCAAGGGACCTAGTTTCATCCAAGATAATGTCAGTTTTTGGGTTTTCAAGTGGAATTTATTTGAGGTGTAGTATTGACCATTGACAACAGACCACAATCTGATCCAAATGTTTATTTGCATCAAGAACATACTTGGCCCTGGAGAGTTAGTTACTGTTACAGCACAAGTTTTTGTGCAGCATTTCTCATAGACAAAGACACCTGCCAAGGACAGAACTATACGTCTCCTTGCCATTAGACAGTGGAAAAAGAGTTCTTTCTCCCGTCTTCTGTCCTGCCCTTGCCTCCAGCACAATCGTGTTGCTTCTCTAACCTTTAGCCTCCCAGCTCCTCTCGGCCTCTTCCTCTGTCGGCCAGCGCACACAGAGCACAGTGGGCATGGGGGCATGCTGGGAACCCTCAGCTGGGGCCTTCCTGCCTGCTGAAACACCAGCTTGTTTCCTGCTGGCCCGGCAGAGCGCACGGGCGCCATCAATCATCAAGGCCAGACACTTCTGCTGTGCTCCTGGACACCGGGCAACTGCACACTCTCCAACGCGCCCCGGGGGGGGGGGTCCCTCACTTGTTTCCACTGAAAAGGGCTCTCAGCCTTAGAAAGGCCAGCCCCTGGAAGTTAGCCATTACTCTTGCCCATCCGCTCCCAAGAGGCAGAGAGGTTTCAGCCCCATGGCAGGTGAAAGTATACTGGCCATCAGACAGGGACCTGCCTTTGTTCTCGGTTAAGAGGCAGCACAATGCCAGAAGGGCCTGTGGCCCGTGTCTGACAAGCTCTCCAGCACTCCTCACATTGACGAGTTCATCTAACGCCACTTTCTCAAGCACGTGTCACTGCAAACCTCCAGGAATTTCTTTTTCTTCCTGGGCCCCGAAGTGTGCCGGACTAAACAGATTATACTTCATGCACTCCCCTCATTTCTTTGTGTTCCAGTTTTCCTGTCAACCCACCTCAGGCTAGTGTCAGTCGGGACATTATCTTGTCTTCATGATCTCTGGCAGGCCGCAGGATAGTCCAGGCCCGTTCAAACAAATGAGGCTGCGCTTAAAGCACCAAAAACTGCATTTGTCAGAACCGGCCTTTGTGAACATCACAATATCACTTCTGTTCAGCTCGTCTGTGTTAGAAGAATTAGACTTCATGCAATAATAAACTGTAAGGAAAGAACGGGATTCTATCCTGGCTTTAGTTTGGCATTAAAGCCCTTAAATTGACTCCTGAAGACAGACTACCAAGGGAAAAACACACACTGCAGTAGACAAGACCGCGGTAAATGCAGAATTATTAACTTGCAAGTCCAATAAATCTATTATCAGAGCCTTGGTGAGTTATACTTGCACTGACTGTCCACCCAGAAGCAGAGGACTTCATCCCTTCTCCTCTTTCTTTTCCTCCCTCCCCCACTCTCACACACAGCCTCTCTCGTCTGTCAGGGGCCTGGGACCTAAGCTGTCATCGCCACGTGCGCCGAGAAGCAAACCGCCGGACGTCGAGGAGTGTAAAATCACATTATACAGAGGGAGACTGACTTTCTCCGTCTTTCTTTCTTTCTTTTGCGGGCGGGTGCTGTTTCACAGCATGCAGTGCTGAAACTCTGCGCGGGGTGAAGCACCACAGAAACCGTCTTTTATGCAGAGTGGGAAAGTTCCATGTGCTGCCCTGATCGGTGCTTATTGTTCCTTTGATTAAACTTAAGCTGCGACAGTAGAGGCTT